CTCAATCTCGACATTTCTCAATATTTGATCTTGATATTTTGTGCATCTTTTACGTTCCAGAACAATGAAGTCCCTGCCTTGATAGAGCTCGTTTCTTAGGCTGGAATATAGAGAAGCAAACAAAAATTACGACAAGAATAAGTTAGATGTTATAAAAATTGCAATGGTTAGTATTATATAAAGTATAAGGGAACAGAGGGAATGATTATTTCTGCTTCAGAGGGGGCAGCTCAGGTGGCCCCAAGTAAAAGAGGAATTCCAGGCAAAGGGAAAGGCAGGTCAGAGGGAACAGAGGAAGAAAGTGCACAGTGAGAAATCTGTGGGGGAGAATGAATGAAGGTAAATCTGGAGAGATGGGCTCAGCAAGATTATAAAGGGGCTTTGTTTATTGTGCGAGGATGTATTCAGAGGGTGATAATAAGCCATCAAGAGTTTCAAGTGGGTAGATGCCTTGGTAAGATCTGTGGTTTAGAAGGTCTGCGTTTTAGAAAGATCACTCTAATGCAATGTGAGAGGCTGGCTGGGAGAAGGGTAAGCCAGCAGACAGAAGCTATTATGCACATTCAGGATTGATTCAGGGAATGGGCGTGAAGATGAGATGGAGTAAAAGGCATTTCAATAGAACCTAGCAGCCTTACAATTCAGAGCGATGATGGCAACATAATGGAAGAGAAACAGAACGGCACACAGGAGTGTGTGCATATCTGTCCATCCTTATAGTCAAACTTAGTTTGTTACTTATTTCTTATTCCTCAAGCACAGCACCTAAGAAACTGCAGATTATGAATTATGCTTTACTTGCCTGTGTTTTGTGATTGCTCATTATTTTAGACTAGAGGCCCAGCGTACGAAATTCGTGCGTGGATACAGTCCCCAGGCCTGGCCTGCCATCAGGGCCATCTTCCCCAGCTGCCTGCATCCAGCCCCTGCCACCACCCACCCCCAGTTCCCCTTTCGCCATCGGGTGATCAGTGCTTGATGGCCAGGGGAAGGGACCGAGAAGTCAGCTGTTCCTGCCCTCTTCCCGACCCCGCAGCAGGTGGCCATCAGGCAATCGGAGCCTGCTGGCCAGGGAAAGGGACCAAGAGGTGGTCAGTGTGCCTCATAGTGACTGGTCCAGCGGTCGTTCTGCCGCTAGGGTCAATTTGCATATTACCCTTTTATTATATAGGATTGGTTCTGAATTTGTGATGAAGGCAATTGCTGGGTGTAATTTAACTTGGCCCCCTCTATTAAAAAGGGAAGGAAAGACTCAGAGGAACTATGAGATAATAAATTCATGTTGCTTAAATTCAGAAAAAGGAAGGAAGAAAAATGTACTCAGTAAATTAAACTTATAAATAAGACTGCAAAAAAAAATTATTCTGACGATAGCAGTTTTGGGCCTTTAAAAAGCACCGAAGTCCACAGAAATATGGCACAGCTGACTTCCAGGCCACACAAGGAGCCACATCACTAAGCTCCACCCTCTGCTCCTCACCCAAACATCTCTCCTGTAGTTGCCAGAGAGCCAGGGGGAATAATCCTAGAGATATTAGAAAAACTCTAGGGCTTGAAGGGGAGGTAAAGAAGCAGCAGCAACAAGTGGCAACAGGATGAGGAACTGCCAACAAGGCAGTCTGTAAAATCTCCAGCTCTTTCTCCCTCACTACCTGGATGTTTGAAATTTGCCTTGTCATCTAGCCAGAAATCCTATGAATAGCAGTTGCTCTGGGTTAACAAATATCCTGTTAAAAAATTCAAATGCTTCAGGGATTTTTTTTAAGGTTAGTCATTCTCAGATTACCATAAAAGACAGGCATTTCCACTCAGGCCCTTCAATGGGGCAGAAGTAGAACACAGTAGGACCAGAGAGGAGACACGTTAGGAAATAGGAGAAAGGCGTAGGAGGGGCCAGAACTCTGCAATTCATTGCTCAGATAAGAGAGAGAAAACACCGTTCTCTCTCTTCTTGTCCACATCTCTCTATTGTTTCCAGAATTACAACTGGAATGATCTCTATTAGTGCCAATTGGGGTGTATCACAAGTGATTTAAATATGCTGTCATATCCAGAATTACGAATTTCATCTTAAATTCCACTTCTTCCTTTTCCCAGCGCTACAGAATCAGAATCCCCAGAGATAAATTCAGTCAGTGACAAGGATTTGAGAGGCTTATGCCCTTTATTTTCAATGCTTCTAAGAAGATCAACCAGCCTGCCTTATTCAAAGGTAATTTCCCAGTTTACCCGAAGGTAACCTGGAAAGGAACCATTTCCTTTGCCCCGGTAGTTGCTCACACCAAGGCTTCCTTACCTTGCTCTGTTTCAGAACCTAAAAAGCCAGTCTCTTCTGGGACCTGAAGTTCTCTTGGATGGTCCCACATCATTCCCTACATTCACACAAGGGGAAAGCAATAGCTAAAAGGAGCACACTATTTCTCTCTCCACCTGGAGAATTCTCAAGGCAGACATCCAATGAAAAAAGGCAAGTCTCAGAATAAGTGCCAAATGATGCCATTTACACAAACTCAAAATCCTATAAAATGCTATGCTTTGTCATGTCTATACATGGAATAGTGAAAGAATGTAGATCAGTGGTTGCCCGGGGATGGAGGGAGGAGGGGTGGGTGAGAAAACAGTCTGTATGATACATTTATCTGAGGATAACAGCTGCCTCTGAGAGCGAGAACTAGGCTACTGGAGAGGCGGACAAGGACAGGCCTCCCAGCAGCTGGGAGCAGCAGCCAGGGTCTGGGAGCCTGTTGGCCTCACCTAACTGTTGGGGTCCAACCCCAGCAGGTCCAGGGGTCCCCAAAGGTGTGGACAGAGTCGGCAAAGAAGGAATGACACAGAGGCAGCGTTCAGGTGATCAGCAGCCTAGCCAAGTTCTCTAGCCAGGATCTGTTTTTTATTGTCTTGTTACATCTGTATTTATACCAGTTGGTTTTAATCCTATCAATTTCTATTCCAAAGGTTAGGGCGTTTCTTCTCTCCACTCCAGGGAGTAAAGATTATGTAGCTTAAGCATGATTGTTCATAGTTAAAGTGATTAACTACCCACCTGGCACTTCGTTAAGGGGTTTTACTGATAAAAATTCCCACCTGGGGAAACAAACTTTCTCGGAGAGGTGACCTTGGTTAAAACACACAGCACTAAGGGGAGCAAACATATTAAGGACAGTATGCAATATAGGCCACGTCTCTGGAAACATAAGCTGTGCAGATGTTTCTTCCCTGCAGTGACTGTGTCAAGCAGCAAGGGTGGATCAGCTTTCTGCACTTCTCATTTAAATAGGTTTTGATACAGCGGACCATACATGGTAGTTATTACAAAATCAAAAATAAATATTACACTTCAGTGTGTAAAAGTAAAATGTCAGTATCAGAATTTAGGATATGCAATGTGAAGAAAAAATAGAAGTACTAATAACCACCAATTTTCAGTGAAGAGGATCAAATGTTATGGCAAACGTGGAAAAATAAATAAAATGTTTTAGAACTGAAATAAAAGCATACGTAAGTACTATGCAGGAGTAATCCATAATAAGTAAGAATGTCAGAGAATGAATACCCACTATCTAAAGTTGAAAATCAATAAATGTAATTAGGAAAGCACCATAAAACTAAAGTTTCTTTCAATGAAATTTCTGTAGTATGTGCTGCCATGTACATTAATTGATTTATATTAAAAACTTTCACATTTAATGGAAGTTATTTACTCAGACGCCAATATAAAGATAAGTTTTATTAAAGTAGTGAGATAATATGAAAGTTTTTTATTTTAAATTTTAGTTTTTTATGTTATTACATTATTTTTATTTATAAAGCATAACTTTATATGGAACCTCTTCAAAAAATGTTAGAATGCCAATGCAAGGTGGGCAGAGATTTTAGTTTTTCTGCTCTATTCTCAGAACATAAGACAGTGATTGGCATGTAGTAGATGAACATTTCTTGAGTGAATGAAATCTGAACTCTTCAAATATTGCCTTGTACATAGAAGACAAAATTTTAGGTTCAGCAACTTCAAGTCTGATTGCTTACTTTTCTTTTTATAAATCTCCTTTTGATTCCACTTTAATAATTTAATTTTATCCCTATTGCTCCAGGACCTTTTTCCTCATATGGTTTGCAACCATTACAGGGGAACTGCCATTTAAGATGAACACTGAAGGATGAGTAGAAATTGCTTAAAGAGAATATCATAGATAGAGATAAGAGCATTATGAAAACTCAATGTGTCATAGGGATAGGAGGATTTTGAAATCATTAGAATATAGAATTTGAGAGGTGAATGGAGCTAGAGTGTCTTTAGATGTTCCTGATCATGGGGAAAAATAAAAAGGCAATAGAAACCATTCACGCACATTGTGTTTTTATTTATTTATTTATTTATTTATTTATTTATTTATTTATTTATTTATTTATTTATTTATTTAAAAATACATTTTATTGATTTTTTACAGAGAGGAAGGAAGAGGGATAGAGAGTTTGAAACATCGATGAGAGAGAAACATTGATCAGCTGCCTCCTGCACACTCCCCACTGGGGATGTGCCTGCAACCAAGGTACATGCCCCTGACCGGAATTGAACCTGGGACCCTTCAGTCCACAGGCTGACGCTCTATCCACTGAGCCAAACCAGTCAGGGCAAATTCCCCCATTTTTATTTTTTAAATGACAGCGCGTGTAAATCAGCGGCCACCTCTCGGATTGGGTTGTTTAAGACTCCGAAGACTTGTTTGTGACTTTGCCAACAGGTCAGTCTGAGGCTTAACCCTATATTGGCTCCCCAGTGGGAGGTGTGCAGGAGGCAGCTGATCAATGTTTCTCTCTCATTGATGTTTCTCTCTCTCTCTCTCTCTCTCTCTCTCTCTTTCTCCCTTCCTCTCTGTAAAAAATCAATAAAATATATTTTTAAAAAATGCACCAAGCTTATGAAGTCTCAAACAAAACTTGAATTTTCTGTACATCCTCCCGTCAAATGAAGTTATTTCCTGTACACCACTCGTCTTGCAAACTGGTCTTCTATTTCCTTTCATTTGACCTAGATCGGCTCCGAGACCTAGAGAAGTATCGAGACTGCTTATGATTTCTCTCCCAGGACAGTGATCTCTGTCTTCTCCTATCTCTGGAAAGGGACCTGCTCCGGCTACGGGAGAAGCTTCTGCGTCTTGGAGATCTGCGGCGAGGTGGAGGACTCCTTCGACGATAATCATCTCGAGGGTGACGATCCCAAGAGGGAGGCGGGCCTCGATTTCGACTTCTCTTTTCACCATTGGACAGTTCCACTCTTACTCGGCAGCCACACAGGGTTCTCCCATCGAGCTCTCGGACAGCATCGGCTGCATCTCGGGGATCTTCAAACTCCACGAAAGCAAAGCCGGGAGGCTTTCTAGCAACCCACACACTTCTGAGTGGCCCATAATAGCCAAAAGCCCATTCCAATTCTGTCTCGTCACCGTTGTCTCCAAGATTTCCCACATAAACCTTACAATCCAATGGACAGGAATGGCGATGCATTTCGAGATCTGGAGTGAGAAACTCAGCGGCTGAAGTCCACACAGCCTCGGACGACTCTCCGGCTCCCCTCCGACCGGTACCACAGGTCTGCGCACCTCCCCGGGTGGACAAAATTGCCTGCCCAAACAGGTCCAGGGGTTCCCAAAGGTGTGGACGGAGTCAGCGTTCAGTTCATCAGCATAGCCAGGTTCCGTAGCCAGGATCTCCAGCCAAGTTCTGTCCAGCCAGGTTGTGTTTATTCCTCCTGTTACATCTGTATTTATACCAGTTGATTTTAATCCTATCCATTCTATTCCAAAGGTTAGGGCGTTTCTTATCTCCATTCCAGGGAGTAAAGATTATGTAGCTTAAGGGTGATTGTTAGTAGTTAAAGTGATTAACTACCCGCCTGGCACTTAGTTAAGGGGTCTTGTTCCCTCCCTAACTTCAGGGAAAAATCCCTACCTGGGGAAACAACCTTTCTCGGAGAGGTGACCTTGGTTAAAACACATAGTGCCAAGAAGGGGAGCAAACATATTAAGAACAGTATGCAATATAGGCCAGGTCCCTTGAAACATAGGCTGTGCAGATGTTTCTTTCCTGCAGCGACCGTGTCAAGCAGAAAGGATGGACCAGCTTCCGGCACCTAACAACCATCCCGGGCCCAAGGCAAAGGGGCGTGGGCATTAAAATAAACACACACACCAAAGAAAAGAAAAACAAACACACACACACAAATTGTAGAAAGTTATTTCAACACTGTCACCGGTATGTGTTTATTCTACTCTTGCTGTTAACAACGACAAAGATAGATTCAAATTTAACATATGGGAATGCCCAGGTAGGTATAGGTGCTCATTATGAAAATGGCTTCAGTGACCAGAAGGGAAATTTTTCAGGTAAAAATAAACACGGGATTCGTTTAGTCATGGAGTATTCGGAGTCTCAGCCTTCGCCTAGCTCAGCAGTCCTGCTGCGGGCAATTACACCAGTGCCAGGCTCTCCTTCTGCCTTTCTGCGCCTGAAGTGTGTGAACGCAGCGCAAATGACCGCACTCTCACACCCAAAGGCTCGTGTGCTCCCATGAATTCAAACTCCGTCCGCACTGGTCTTCGCAGGGAGCCCTAAAGAGGACGGGTCTTCCTACGAACCGAACCGCTAAAGCCCCAGGCTTGTTGGTGATGGACAGGCCATAGGTGATGGGAGCCAACCAAGACCAGAGCGGAGGGGAAGGGAGTCAAAGGTCACTCACCTGGCCCAGGCATGTGCTACCCTGCTGGGGTGGGGGGTGGGGAGATGGGCATCAAAACATGCCATTACATCCAGGCAGACTGGCTCCGTGGTTTGAGCGTCATCCTGTGCACCCAGTGGTTGGTTTGATTCCTAGTCAGGGTAAATGTCTGGGTTACGGGTTCAGTTCCCGGTGGGAGCCGTGGGAGCCGTACAGAAGGCAACCCATTGATGCGTCTCTCTCTCCCTCCCTCTCTCTAAACATAGCCTCAAGTGAGGATTTTTAAAAAATGCGGCCCTAACCGGTTTGGCTCAGTGGATAGAGCGTTGACCTGCGGACTCAAAGGTCCCAGGTTCGATTCCGGTCAAAGGCGCGCACACACACACACACACACACACACACACACACACACAACTGCGATCACCATTTCTAGGCGACCTGATAAGACTTCAGCATAGAAGTAATTCATTAAACTCGCAGCTGTAGCATGACCGATTGATTGGCTGTTGAGGTCTCGCGTGTGTTTAACTCAGGCCGACAGCCCTCCCTGGGCCTGTTTCTGCATCGTCTGGTGACAGACACAGAGTCCACCAGGTAGACCGGTGCGGGGGAAGAGGTGGGCTAGTCCCTGGCAAATGCTTCCCCCAATGGTGGAAACACCGGGAAGGACTTCGACTGCGACCTCAGGCCAGGCATTAATCCGTGTTCTGAGAGCGGATTACAGCCTAAACCCAGGGATCCGCCCTGGGATCCGCCCTAGAGGGCGTGGCAAGCGAAGGCGCCAATAGGCACGCACCGCATCTGGCTGCGGCTCCATAAATGCCGGCGCATCTGGCTGCGGGCTCCATAAGTGCCAGGCCTTGCACCAAGCAACTACGTGCCGGCCCGACCTTACCTCCAGACACAGTAGCTCTTGACCGCGCTTGATGAAATGATGGATCCCACAGCTGAAGATCTAGTTCGGTTATCCGGCAACTGCCAAGATACTCACTCTTTACCTCAGGAAATTGTGGAGTTCGTCCTGGAGTTCTCTGAGACACATGAGTCAAGAACTCCAGCTGCACCAGAGCCACAGATCTACATGCCTCCGACTGCCCGTGGTGACGAGAGCCAACATGAGTCCATTCAGAACCAGGTGATGGCTCCTTTGAGGCCCACAATGATGGTTTCTGCATGTTCTAATATCCCTGGGACAGTCCTTGACCAGAGCTCAATAACTCTCCCTGTTAATGCCTTTGATAAGCCCCCTGGAGAACTAAATGAGACTGTCTCCATGGACCAGAAGGAGACCTCCTTTGATCAAAGAAAACCCACAGCAACCTCCTGGATGATAGGTGTTACTGACAACCCAAAGACATTGTTCACTGATTGCCAAAAGACAACCATCACTGCAAACAACATGACAATCTCCAAAGAAGGTAGCCAGATGAAGACCCTCAGTGATGAACAGACCCATTATGGAGGCCAGATGACTTTTGGTGGGGACCAGAAGAAGGTAACCAGATGAAGACCCTCAGTGATGAACAGACCCATTATGGAGGCCAGATGACTTTTGGTGGGGACCAGACCCATTATGGGGGCCAGATGACTTTTGGTGGGGACCAGACCCCTTATGGAAGCCAGATGACCTTCAGTGGGGACCAGACCTGTTATGGGGGCCAGATGACCTTCAATGGGGACCAGACCCCTTATGGAGGCCAGATGACACCTCTTAAAGGGGGCTATCCAGTGACCTTCATTGGGAACCAGACCTTCACTGGGAACCAGGTGACAACATACAGCAGTGACAAGACTCTCTATGGGGGTCAGATGGGGACCCTTAAGGGGGACCAGACGAGAGCCTTCACTGATGACCACACTCTCTATGGAAGCCATATGATGCCATGTCAATCGCCATCATTGCCATACCTAGGATCCCTGTACTGTTCAAGTTCCCATTTGACCCAAGGACAATCCCTAGAAGAGCAGAAGTCAAAACTCAAAACCCAGAGATGTCAGTTCAAGAAGAATCTTGACATTTCAAAGCCCTACACTTGCACATACCAGGACTGTCAGAAATCATATTCAAAGTATTCCTCTCTCCAATTCCATATTCGCAAACACACAGGAGAGAGGCCCTACAAATGCAATGTGAAGGGATGCACATGGGAATTCGCCCGTTTAGATGAGCTCAAGAGACACACCAAAAGGCACAGTGGGGAGCGACTCTACCTGTGTACTCTGTGCGACAGGCGTTTTGCACGATCTGATAACTTGAAGCAGCACCAGAAAGTCCACCAGTGACTACGAACTGAATCCATCAGCCCATGAGGAAACAAGATTCTCCCTAAGCCTTTGTTTGCTTAGCACCTAGCACTGTGCCACCACATCGTAGGTGCTTCATATTACTTGTAAACTTTTAAGGTTTTTATTTTTTATTTTCTAAAACGTAGAAGAAAGAGCCCAGCTGGTGTGGCTGAGTGGTTGATTGTCCATCCATGAACCAAGAGGTCACTAGGTTGATTCCTGGTCAGGGCACATGCCCGGGTTCAGGGCTCTATCCCAGTGGGGTGTGTTCAGGAGGCAGCCAATCAATTATCCTCTCTTAACATTGATGTTTCTATCCCTCTCTGCCTCTCCCTTTCTTGCTGAAATCAATAAAAATATTTTTTTAAAAGATGTCTCTCTCTATCCCTCTCCCTTCCTCTCTCTCTAAAGATCAATTAAAAAAATTTTAAAGCATTGAAGAAATACATGTATGCATTTTAATGGAATAAGAAGCATTTAACTTATTCAAAAGTTGAGCCTCCTGCCCTGGCTGTTGTTGCTTGGTTTAGTGTTGTCTTGTGCACCAAAAGGTTGCTGGTTCGATTCCCATTCAGGGCACATGCCCAGGTTATGGGTTCAATCCCAGTCGGGTGTGTATTGAAGGCAGCCGATCAATGTTTCTCTCTCTCCCTCTAAAATCAATAAAAACATGTTTTAAAAAGTTGGAAAAAAAAATTCCACTTCTTATAACCTCCTGATTTGAGGAAAGGTGACCAAGTTGCACAGAGTTGACTTAAGAACATGCTTTTCGATCTTGATTCATATTTGGAAATTTTCATTACTTTCTATCCCCTCACTAAAGGTCTCCAGAGTCTTTTGCCTAACTCCTATCATTTTGGGTCCTTGAAAGCATTTTCAGTTAAATCAAGATGGTATTTTCTCCACCAGACAGAATTATCTAGGTGAGGTTTTACTATCACTGTTGATCATAATTACAATAATAATAGATGCTCTTAACCAATGGACATAAGACACTGGGGGGTAAGGGAGACCAGGGGATTGTCAAGGGTGGGGGGGGGAGGACACATATGTAATACCCTTTGTAATACTTTTAGCAATAAAAAAAATAATAATAGATGCTTGAATCAAAGCACCTCAGTATGGCATTTGAGTAAAAGAAATATTTAGTATATCCATGAGCAACATCAGAGTTAAATTTTATCTTTAAAACAGTTAAAAATGAACTGTCATTGTATTATTTTAACCCAAATAAGCATTTGAGCAGTTATTTAATTTGGTATTTCTAACTCTTTTAGGTAGATAGGTCAGAAATAATTACTGCTAACTAAAGAGCTCCTTACATCACATACAGCACTTGCCAATATAAGCTACTAACACTTTGACACATCACCACCATTGATGTATATAATTAACTTCTGCATTTGTTACATGACAGGCACCATGGACATACTCTGCAAAGGATACGTCCAATGTGTAGCATATAATCTTCTGTGACATTAGTTACAGTAAGTGGAATTGAATACAGAGCAGACCTGAATTTGAGCCTCTCTGAGAAATGGCATTTTACTAATGGGAGCTTCCATGTAATTGT